TAACGGGCGCCGGGAGCGCTTTCCTGGGCTAAAGTGGCCGGGGCGTGAAGCTGACCACTCACCTCCAACTAGTGCCGAAGCCAAGAAAATATGGAGCAATACCTCCACTTCCCCATACGTTCAAGTTCAAGTTCAAGTCACATTGCGACTGACGGTCGGTCAGTCAGTCAGTAAGTCTTGGTGTCGAGCCCCATCTGGGGCTCATGACCAGATATTTATTACTGTTTGGCATTTACGGTCTTGTTTTTGTGGGGCGCCCTCTCTGACGAGAGGACGGGTCTGCCTTTTGTATATGCTGCTGGCCCTTGCCAGTGCAGCCTTTCTCGGGTCTGAGTCCTTTGGAGCTCGCTACCCTATTTTACTCTCTCAGATTTGAGACTTCCCTTTTCTTCGCCTCCTACAACTCGCAGGGTCACGGTGGAGGTGTTTGACCCCGCCTCCACACGGGGGCTCCCCCATACGTCTTCATGGCATAATGTTTAAATAGTTAAGCACAGGGACAACTTTACCTTTTTTTATGTTTCAGAGTCGTATTATTGTTCTGGTGCAATATCTACCGTGATTATTTTACATTATTTTCTTAAAATTAATGTTTGTGCTCCATTTAAGCAGCTGATCGATTTTCACGTTAGTGTTAGCTGTGAAAATATGTTTTCTCTTTATGCGGATATTCGCCATATAAAATCAGAACTTATCGTCATGAGGCTTTTCTTTGTGACGTTCGCGGGTTAAATTTAGAAATGCTGCTTTTGTTTCGGGGATTTACCACGACCTTTCCTCATTGTGATCATTTGAATTCACCTGTTTACAGGTGGTTTGTGTCACTACTGTAAACCTACTGGATTGTCTGCTTCCTGATTATGTTTCTCTATGAGTCATTGTCACGGTCGCTTCAGAACAAACAAAAGAGCATTCAGGAGTTGTGCAAGGACATTTATATCCATTTCAGTGTGAAAAGCATTGCCTCTAAAGTTTGCAACAACAATTCGAAAAACAATAAGCCAGTAGCTTCACCTTGCCTGTCTGTCCGTCAGTCTATATGTAGCAAAATATTGACCGTTCAAGCTTTCTTTCAAATTTCTCAACAATAGTACACGTTATATAAGGACATGGATATATTTCTACGTGCATAATTCGAGAAACTTTTATCGGAGCTTAACAATATTTCAAAAGAGATCTTCTAGAGGAAAATGGAATTAAACTATAGAGAATTGACCGGCCTGTCCTCCGCCCCCCTTTCCTTAGTTCTCTGTCACTCCTGTGGTTGCATTATTAGTTCTATGTTGTTACACTAGTGGCGCTGTAGTCATCATTTTTTTTAATTTTTTTTTGTGTATCTTGTATTAAAGTATTTTACGAGCTGTGTAGACAGCAATTTATTCATTATATAGCCGACAGTAATGTGTTAATACCCCACTAGAACTTTCTATCTACATAGATCATCAGGTGTTCCTTGAATACATACCAGTAGTTAATGGATTTTCGGTTAAAATGGATCCATTTTTACAATATATTTACATCAATAAAATGTAAATTCATGCACTAAATGTATTAAACTCGTACGTGAAAGGTTAAAATCTAATAGCTTCAGTAATTTAGGTAACAGTTTTAATTAGAATTAGTACTGGCCATAGTCGGTCTAGGATTTTAGGGTCGGAGAACAGGCTGTTTTTCGTAGAAAATATAATCCCTACCGCTCGTGAGATTTCTTTGGCCAGCTCAAGTATAACTAAATGCGTGGAGTGCAGCCCCCTTTTGCGTATCTAAACTCGGTCAACGCAGTGGTCTTACGTTTTAAGGATTCCGATGTTGAAATGTTTTGCAATTTGTGTAACGTTTGGTACATATAATCGCTCTGGGAATTACATCCCCTAATAATAAACGGGTGTTTTTCTCACTTAAGCAGAAATTCATAAATGAGAATTTGAGTGCAAATAGCGTAATTTTGGGAATAAATATTGTGACATGGGAAGTGAATAGAGCACACAGTAAAGGTTTTCCATGTTAACAGTGGTGAAGCTTGTTCTAAAACTAAAGAGTCTTTTAGTTACGTAAGAGGAAACTACAAAATACCTCCATGTTTTCATTTTCGGCCCAGCGAGCTACCCTGGACAGTTTAGTCTGCGCATGCTCCATCTCTTCCATGTCGGATTCCATCTCCACAAGATCGCTAGTACCTAGAAATTTATATATTTTTCTCATTTTGAACAAATAATATAAATATTTGTCTCATTGATAAATATTAGTGACACCCTTGTGTAAGAAGAGGTAAAAAATATATTTCATATCCAACACATACATTTTGTGGTTTGCTCTATAATTAGAAAAAGCGAATGTGCCAGAAATTTTACGATATGAGTACATTTCCTAACTTGTACATACAGAGTGTTATTTGAAAAGTTCCTTACATTCCTTAGTATCGATTTCATATTTTATATGTTAATTATTTTCTTGATTCGGGTTTGTTCTACAATAGACTACGATATAAATATTGCTTGATGAGTAACGGGCTAACAGGAACTGCTTCAGCGAAATTTCTATAGAGCATACGAGTAAAATTCTGGAAATCATCACGACTTCGTAAATGAAACCCTTTTCACTGTTTGTACTTACCTTATTACTTCTTTTACATCAATTGAAAGCTATTTGGAACATTTCAATATATTTTAGACAGCGTACAGTTCTGGAAATCTTCACTGTTTTCGTAATTGAGAGAATTCTCACTTTCTATACATACTTTTAAACTTTCTGTGTACAATATGCATAAAGCGAACTGCTGATAATGCCTTCTGTGATCATCTGTCGGATTATTTAAATTTCTAATTCTGAACTAGAATTAAATTTTGCATGAGATGCATAAGTACTCCAACAGTTATTCTTTCAACTCAAATTTGAAACCTCTGTTTTCAAGAAACTCGTACATAACTTATTCAGTATCCTTAACAAAGGCTCCTGTAGCTTCAGAGTTGGAAGCGTTTCGTATTCACGAATTCCAGGAATCAGGTCTTGGGCAGGAGATCCGCTATTTCTCATCAAGATTTTTCGTAATTTTCCTCAGTTCTTTCAGGCATGTTCCAGGATTATACTTTAGATGACGTCATGACCACCTCCTTCCACAGCCTTCCCAACATAGTTCCCACTCCCGTGCTGCCATTCGATGCCACGCATCTTGAGCTGCTGATTTCGTAATGAAATAATGATGAACTACTTAACAGCCACGTATCATCTAAAGCTTTGTACGTGATAAGAACAGGGTGGCCCAGCGGTAAGACTCTACACTTGTATCCCGGGCATCTTACGTTCGAATCTCGGCAGCGACACCCATTATCGTCATTATTGTCAGTCTCTGCAGATAAATACCGAAGTGCTGCTTTAATTAGGCCAAGAGCGTTTCCTTCCAAGTACTTTCCGGTTCATCATACATCAGTCGTCATACCGTCCGGCGTCGTTTGCTCTAGCTAGTGGCAACATCTGCGCATAAAGCACGTACCGCACTTCCATTGGTCTGTGTGGGGGCATGCAGCTGTTTACAGTAGCTAGAGGAAATTGTAAAGACTTATGAAGCTATCCCCGTAACAGGCAGTGAAGGCCCATAGGGTTCTGAGACGTTGAGGGTCCCACATTATCTAGACAATCGCCTCAAAGATAGCGGTAAGGTTGTCAGCCTTACGCGCCGGCCGCGCTTTACTCCCCAGGAAAATTATTCAATTAATTCCTGGTACTCATTTCTGTTAGAGTCGACCCCAGGGCCGTAATGCGGCTGGAAGGATTAGGTCAGTTGAAAAATCTAATTATCTCATCGGGACTTGAACCCGCGACCTTCCGGCTTTTAGCCTAGTGCCTCAACCAACTACGCTACTGCGTCCCCCCTCTAAAGACTTATATTATCATACAATTTTATTATAAACAATTAAACTTCATGTTTCTGGAACTTACGGAGTTATAGAGCTCATTTCTGTCACAAGAATTGGGCACAGGCCGGAGAACAGGAAATAAGGAATTTATACGAACGGTGTAGTTTTAAATGCATTCCGTCATTATTTGTATATTCCGCACATATCGCTCGATGATGGTCTCTGTGGACCGAAACCTGTTGTCATAAGAAAATTGTGTGACAGTAAATACGAATTAGTTTAAATTTGCAATAAAGAAAATTATGATCACACAGAAAGAAAGCAGTTTCAGAAAGGACGCAATTGTGAAGTCTGCTTTATAGGAATACACGTTTCCTCTTCTGAAAAAGTAGAAGAAACTGGGAGGAGTTTTACTTACTCCATTGATCGTTACGCAGATCCGAACCCGATACAGAAAGGCAGAACAGAACTAGACACAACACTGTTGCTATGGTACACATCTTTGGCAGTTCTGTTCCTGTGGGGAAACGCAACGCTTATAAAGACCGCTGAAATCGCCATATTTCGTGCGCAGACTCCTGCAACGATAAACTGTCTCACTGCACTAGCTTCCGCTTCCGGTGCTGTAGTAAGCGATCGCAGTTTGTGATATCGTGTTACGAAGTTCCGGTTGGCATGAAGTGCACATATTTGCGGAAATATGGGAACCTTTTCAGAATTTCAGTTGTCCGTGCAAACGTGCTGTGAGTCATTTAATTCTTCTGTGATTATTGTTCTATTGAAGCAGTCGACATTTATAGTATATCGGGGAATCACAGTTTTGACAACTGAGTAGTTTCTAGAATGCTGTGACAGGAAAGGCAGAAAGAAGTGCATGTTAATTTCGCTGTATCTCTGTGTCCGACGATGTGTAATGTATTCGCCCTGGGAATGGTTTCTTCTCCTGTCATCACGACTTGAGAATGAATATTCGACTTTTATTAACAAAATTACATATCGTCTTAACAGCCATGGCTACCGGATACTTTTTCTAGAGTACAGAGTAAATTTAAAAATATTTATATGTGTTACCTGTTAGGAGACCACTGGGAAGACGAATTCATAGGTGGGTGGACAATATTAAAATGGATCTTAGAGAGATAGGATGGGATGGCATGGATTGGATTGGTCTGGCTCAGGATAGGGACCATTGGAGGGCTCTTTTGAACACGGCAATGAACTTTCGGGTTCCATAAAATGCTGAGAAATTCTTGAGTAACTGCTGATTGGCTTCTCCTCAAGAAGGGCTCAGCTCCATAAGTAAGTAAAGCGTTACCTGTTAGGTTCGCCATAGAAATGAGATAGTAGGCGGACACTGAACCAGGTAAGGTACAGCCCGAGAGATCTCAATGCTTCCAGAATCATCAGAGAGTAAAATGTGGTCGTGAGTTGAAGACGTTAAGAATTACTGGACATCTGTTTATCAACCGCTTATTTCCAGTTTGAGCATAAATTCTATCAGCAAAATGGGGAACTCACTGTCTCCGGTGGTCAGTAACGTATTTATGGAGGACATTGAGGAAATAGCATTGGGCGCAGCAGACCACAAACCCGCTAAATGGCTCAGACACGTCGGCTACACTTCCTTGGTTTGGCCACATGGACCAGCGAGATTGCAACAATATTTTCACCGCCTCAACAGCGTCACACCTAATGTCAAATTTACAATGGAAGTTGAAGCTAATGATAATCCTCTTCTTGGATGTCTTGGTCATGAAGAGGAATCCTAACCTGGCCATGAAGGTGTACCGGAAACTGGCTGTTGTCTGCAATTCAAGTCCAACTACACACATCACGTAAAAAGGTGAGCATTTCGTAGTTAATTTAGTAGAGCCGGGGTCATATGGCAGGATCAGAAGGATTTCAACGAGGAAATTAAGAGCATAAGACATGGTCTGAAGCTTGAGGAATACCGACAAGGACTCCATGATGAAGCCATGGAGACTTACCCGTCCCTCTTCACGTCACGGTCATTACCCCATATGTTAAGTGCATCTCCGTGAAATTCACACAGTGAACACAAAATCTCCTGATTGTGGATTTTCGTGATGTCTTGGAGTCCCCCCCCCCAAGACAAAATAAATTTTGAACATATATTAATTATTCATGCATTCATTCATACTCGTATATAAAAATGAATAAAATATTCACAGCGGTAACCCAGCACTTCATTTATTTCATCACACAAGAAACTGCATTTTTGTTGAACATTTTAGTGCGTGTATGTGATATTCATCCCTGTATCTAACTGTCAGAGTTCTGCTCCTCCTTATTCTTCCATTCTTGCATCATCTGGCGGAAGTCATCACATTCTTCACCTGAAAAACAGATAACGTGATATTTTAACAGTGTTCTTAGGACTTTAGTTCCACGTTTTCAGAAATATCCTTACACTTTTAACACTTCGAAGCCTAAGTCCGTCTAAATAATATTAAGAATTCTGTTCCTACCTCACAGAGAACACTGTATCTCAATTGTGAAGGCAACTGCTCAGTGCTCCTTAGGGAAATAATTACTGCTTCTCCCCAAAATAATATGAAACACATAAGTACACTCTGCGGTTAGAAGGCAGTGTTTGTGGATGCTGAAGCAGATGGCACGTACACTAAACACTGTACTCTAAAGGGTTAATCAGAATTTACTGTTGTACTTTGCAATGCGCTGTGACGAACACAGATTGAAGGCGCAATATATATCCTCATTCAAATAAAATCTATTACATTTTTAGAATTTATCTTATATATATATACGCCTGTATATGAAATTCATTTTGCTGTATCATATTTTGTATTTTGATTTGTTCACAAGATAATTTACACAACAAATATGATATTCATTGATAATATTTACTGCTACAAATACAAATTTTGATAAGGAAATTTGAAGGAAAGTGACATTTATAGAGCCTAGACGTGTGTGGGAGAATAATAAAAACGGGATAAAAGGATGTCAACTTGATTCATCCAGCTCAGGATATCGAGAATTATAGGCTCTTGTGAACTCTGTAATGAACCGTTGAGTTCCCGTAAAATGCTGGGGATCTCTTGACTAGCTTAGCAACCATTAACTTTGGTAATTCTGTTCCTTGGAATTAGTCACTTAGTTGCTACTGAGCTACATATATCAGTGTAAATGAAAATCTTCAAGCTCCTGCAAGCATAAACAAAATGAAACTTTTAATACCAATAAATTGTGCCACGAAGCGTAATGTCTGAAAATACTTGAAAATAATGGCTAATATTTTTTGAACTGCCGGATTCAGACTGAAACTTGTAGCCCAGTAGTAAAAGGTGTCATCAGCAAATTAATATTCTGTTGACTAAAGTAGATCGAAGTATTATACCTCGTATATATTTATATATAAACCTTTTCTATCGCAAAATTTTTATTATTTTAAAGTACTGGGGACTTGTTGCTGCGAAAAGACTTTCTCCATGATCAGCAATATTTAAGAATGCCTGTATTTCCCCCTCAATTCTTCGAACACAATATAAGCGTTAACATTAAGGGAACCCTGTAATGTTTGGCCGCGTACAATACAATATCACCAAATTTACTGATATTACAACAAAGTAAGATGGAAAATTTTCAAACCGAAACTGAGGGTCAGCCCCTTTATTATTATAGAACCAATGAAACAGGCGTAAGGAATTCATGTAAAAATTGATCTTTGTACGATTAATTTATTGATAAAGAATCATTTTCAGACAGTGTAAGCGGATATTTTTACAGAAAACTTTAAAAAAGAAATATGCTGTTCGTTTCTCTGTACCTAGGTGCTTATTTAAAACATACGTACGCGGAACACAGTGATGTGTATATGCCTGTTGTATAGTATGTGCAAAAAGTTAAAATTTAGAACTATCCCTGTAACAGGCCGTGGAGGCCCATAGGGTTGGGAGACGTCAAGGCTGTCACATTTTCTAGACAGTCGGCTTACAGATGGCGGTGAGGTTGTCAGCCTTACGCCCCGGTCGTCCTTTACCCCCAGGAAGATTTCTGGTACTGGTCCGTATCTAAATATATGAATGTATATGGAAAAGGACGCAGTCCCTAGATCTGACCTAGTTAGCTCAAGCGGTAACGTTTCTGACTTTTGTTTTGCAGATGCCCGTTTGAATTCCGGGCAGTGCATCGGCTAATCTCATTGAGATTTCTGTAATTGCCCTCAATCTTTCCAGGCAAATTTCAGTATGCTACCTCAAATGTGGGCACTACCCATCCCTTCTGCACCCCTTCCAATTCTCTGTTAGCTACCAATCGTCGTGACATTAGGAGATATACAGACTGTACATCTGATTGTCCTACAGATACTCTTGTACACTTACTGTGAACTGTTTGGCTCTCAGGGCAGTTCTGAAAATTGAAGAATGCAGGTTATTACATGTATGTTCAGTTGCATATGTTCGTACGCATACACACGCCTATATACAGGAGCGGCAGCCTCACAACAATTCTACTGGCCAGACATTCCTCTTTACTGGTCTACTTGTCGTCACGTAATATATTAGAAATACAGACTACTGTTCATTATTTTATATAATATACATAAAAGATATAATTTACTCTTAAAGCTTGCTGTTCGGCCTCTTTGTAGAAATTAAACTACAGAGCGTAAGTTAATATTAAAGAACAAATTCAAAGACGTTTACACTTATCGGCCATGCCTCCTCAATTGCCACAGACGAGCAGACGGATAGTTTATTGCACAGCGCTTAAAGTTTCACTAAGATGAAATAAACAACTTGTTTACTTTGAGAGGAAAATGTATATTTCTATTTAATCTGTCTGTGGTATTTTAAAAGATGTGTCTGTATGAAATATGACAAGAGAATTTACATTTTAACAAGAATTAGGTTATTTCATTCTAAGGGTATCACAATGTTCTAAGAAATGAAAACAGGCGTGCGGGCATAGTCTTATTTTAAATACTAAAATTATTCCAGCATGCTTAATATAGAATTTAATTCGTGATCAGTGACTCTGTATCAATAGTGCTTGTGTAATGTGGTAATTATAGTCAGAGTGGCAGTACTACCCTTTTACGTGACGCTGTTGTCATGTTCTGCTGTAAAGCATGAAGGGTCTATATATAGTTGTTGCACTTCAAGGTCAGCAATATTCCGCACGAATTGTCAAGTTACGAAATGGACACATTGCGTAAATATTCTTCCTAGCCGACTCGCTGTGGTTAAATTATGCAGACAAGAGTTCTACTTAAAAAATGTACCGTGTATAAAATTCCTTGCTCGTTTTACTCTGCAATCTTTAGTCGAAGTATTTATAATTCCGATAAATATCTGGTTGGTTACGCTTGAGTTGCTCATAAAATGTCGGTATATAGATCTTTATGTAAATGTATCTTTGTTGTTGTCGCTATTTTTTTCTCGTCTGATTTGAAACGAAATTGGAATGTTTCGTCAAATTTTAGTGAAGATCCTCAATATTAATTTTATATTAAAATTCACTTGGTGAATCACGAAAAAATAAACATATTATTTTTAATTGACGGATTTTTTAATTTATCAATGCAAACTCGCAAAAAAATAATTTAACAACTCTATGGAAGATTTTCAAACCCGAATCAGTAATTATTCGTGAAAAAATCGAATTATAAAACAGATATTGTGATATGTCTAAGCGTTGCTGGGCAACAGGATGTGGAACGAGTTGCCATGAAGACAGACTCTTGATAAACGGTCGGTTGCCAAGCTGCCCAACAGTGGAACGAGGTTACGCAACAGTAAGTAAAGCGATGTTTCTGGGTGCCGTGCCCTGCCTAGCAGAAGCGCGCTGGTTGCTACGCAGCGTTGCCCAGCAACGCCTCTGTAACACGGCGATTACGTAGCAGATAAGTGAGGTGCGTTTTCCGCTGTCCGACTGAGGGTTTACGAGTATAAGAGATACTGGAATGCCCAAGTCATACCGTGTGGAGGCGGGGTCGAATACCTCCACCGTGACCCTGCAAGGCGTAGGAGAAGACGAAAAGGGAGTCTCAAATCTGAGACAGTAAAATGTGGTCGCAAGTACTAAGGGACTCGGATCCGACAATGACTGCGCTGGCAAGGGCCAGCGGCATATATAAAAGACAGACCCGTCCTCTCGTCAGAGAGGGCGCCCCAAAAACAAGACCGTAACTGTCAAACAGCAATAAATATCTGGTCATGAGCTCGAGATGGGGCTCGGCACCAAGGCTTACTGACTGACTGACCGTAAGTCGCAATGTGACTTTGACTTTGACTAAGGAGTCAGTTGAATTTTAGCAGCCGCCGAAGCCGGTTAGTATTCGGAGTATTCGGCGGAGCAGAAGTCAGTCGGTCGCGGGAAGAAGAAGACCCGAACGCGTGGTGAGAGGATTTTATGTGGTAGTGCGCGATAACTGAGAAGTCAGCCAGTGAAGACTCATTGTGTGCCTTCAAGACTGTGTGTGTGCTGTTGTAGAGTTATATTGGGAGTGTGTAATACAGTGACACTGGTATAGCTCCCGTATCGTACTGTGAATACGTGTAGACTGCTGAGGACAGAGTGGACAAATTTTGCGTAGGGTTGTAAATTGTGTAAACCCGTAACAGTGTTATAATCAATTGTCGTTACGACTTGTAGGTTGTTAAATAAACCAATCAACAATCTGAACGGCGTCTTCAGTAGCCAAACACGTTACAATAGTATATGTTGGTGCAAGAACATGGTTTTCTTATTGCAGAACTCCTTTCATATAAATTCTTGATGTGTTTAGAAGGAGCTCAGTAGAACAAATAAAGCTTACCAGAATGACCTCGTACTTCACGCAGTGATAAGCCATTATTCCCGCAAGATTGCAATTACTTTCCACCAACCCTTCGCTCATTATTTCTGCAAACAGAAGGAAACCATATGTAAATAAACATATATATATATCTAATAAAAGTGTAATGGAACCGTTGATGTTTATCTGATGATTCGTCTAAAACTGCACGCTAAATGAGACGTACTTTATATCATTATAATCGTGTCGTAATTACTCACGCCTAGGAATGTAACGCCTCCTGCATGGGGCATGGCTGAAAAGAACAGAAAGAAATAAAGTGTGTACGAGTGAAGTTAATTATTGAAAATGTGATGGCCCTCGGAACAAGGCCTAGAGGACTGATGCATGTACTCAGAAAAGGAGAGTACTTCCAGCGTGTTTTGTGGACACTCACTTAAAGTTTCGTGTTCAGCAACTGACGAAATAAGTACCATCATCTTGAGTACGCCTTGTGTGATGGATAAGATATAATTCAAGATCTGTCTTCTCGCCAATCGTGGTCTATGTAACAATATAAATGTTCAAATTGCGGTCTTCTGGGTTGTGACGCCGTGTCCAATGTTAAACTCTTAATGTAAAGGTTTACTGCAATAACACCCTTCTCTGGATAATATTACAACTTCTCGCGGCTACTTTAACATAAGAAAATCTTATATAATTTCCAGTAATATTGTGACATGTGTACTTGTTGCTAGGTAATGATCGCTAAACAAACATTTTGACAGCGGACATTGCTAGGCAGCGGCCTTCAAACGGCAACAGATGAGTTTTTAGTTTGCTGCAACAGCGGAACTACAACAGTGTGGAGCGGTGTCTTCTGTGCGGTCTGTGCTGAGTTGGGTGCTGCAGTGCAGTACAGTCAGATGAGTAGGATGTTGGTGTGAGATGACCGCCAGCCTCGGAGTCGGTTGGTGAGTGAGTATGTTATAGAACTGTTGAGGTTCAGTCCTTGTGAACTGTTCCTGTCAGGAGCTGGTAATTGAGGCCGCTGGCGGTTCAAGAATCCAGAGGAAGAGGGACGTCTGTCATTGGAAGCTGCTACCGGGCAACAACTAGAGCAGAGTGAGAAGACTTGGTGCGTGCTCTAACGAACTGCAGAGTGTGAGAATAAGCGAAAGCGCATTAGTTGCTTGTAATGACCTTCTGTAAGCGTTTAGTGAATGCGAGCATGAATCTGTAGTCACTCGATCAGCTGACCGTATTATGATAGCCAACACATATAAGGCTTTATTATTGAAATAGAGCAGAAAATGAAACAGCATGGGAAGATGCGTGCGGCAGTGAGCTAGCCTATGTCTATGTTGGAGGAAACATAAGGGAAGCATTAGCATAAAAACGTGTTGCACAGATTAACGCCAGAAGACCTGAAGATATATGGAAACACATGAAATCCGTTAACGGAAGACAGCGTTCTGGAAGCTGACTGGCAAGGAGACTAGGAGGAACTGGAGATAGGAAATCCACAAAAATATAAGGAGAAAAAAAAAGAAGGGAAAGAGTGTGAAGAAACAAAGAATAATATTCACTCGGCACCCTGACGACAAGTTCAGTGTAGTCGTGCCCGAATTCTACGTACTTCTGATAACGTTCTCACAGAGGGTGTTTGAAACTAAGGCCATTGTCAACGTATTAAATTTAGCAGTAGAAATATTCTGGTATAATAATACTCATATACTGTATTTTAATTCATATCATTTTATTAAAATTGACCACTAAACTATTGAAGTTAAACAGGAACCAGCTACGATGGGTGGTAGGACTACTTACAGGACACTGCCACATCAAAGGACATCTGTTCAAACTGAGACTAAGTGACAGTCCCACTTGTGAGAGGTGTCAAGAAGAAAATGAAACAGCCACACATATCCGGCGTGAATGTGAGGCCTTAGCTTATTTAAGATTGCCCCACTTGGGTCAATATTTTATGGAACCAAGTGATTATTTCGACGTTCCAACGTACAAGATCCTGCGAGGATGGGGATAACCAGAAGGGGAGGCACAACAGATCATTGTGGTCACGGTGGAAGGGCCAAGAATGTCCACCCCTTGTACATTCATACATTCATTCATTAAAAATTGTCCCCTGACTCTATGATGTACAATCGTTATTCAAAGCCCAATGATCGCTCACTTGCGCAACAAATTCAACTCCTTCCCCATTACGTAACCCGAAAGTTTATGGCAGTGTTCACAGGAACTCACCATTACCCCTTATCAAGATTCTGATGAATCCAGCCTACACATTTGCGCCCTTTCTTAAGCTCCGATTTACTATTATTCTCCCATCAGAGCTCACGTAAGTCTGCTAAGAGTTCACGGTTTCGCGAATTTCCCGAAGAAAATTTTGTTTTCAAATTAATTATTTTGAAACGTAGAGCAAACTTCATCCATTGCGAAAAGAGGGAGGGAGGGAGGGGAAAAGTGTTGTGTTGCTGTTTCAGTTTCAGAAAATGATTCATTTGCTTACCTCTTGCACGTTTATTGGCTTTCTTCGCACAGTATAGTCCAGCATGTTTCGCTACATCCTTCAGAGTGTCATCAGTGTAGGCCTCATCAATGAACTTCTCAAAATCCTCTTCCTTCGCATAGCCATCCTCGTCGAGCTTAAAGGAAGGTCTTCATTAAAATATGCGGTGCAAAGTAAAATATTGTTTCTACACGTCGTCCAACCTCTGTACAAGGTATAATGCAGGGGGTGAGCTTTTCTATGTTTATAAGGCTTATGTATTGTACTAAAATCCAACGAATGGATCAGAGGCAGAGTCAGAATTACTTTACGGCTGACAGTTGTCAATCAGTTCGTCTTCGTGAGAAGACCCTTGAGACTCACGACCATCAATTTTTTTTCAACTGGACCCTTGCGGTCATAGTCATTATGTAACATCCTCCCTGACGAGAGGCTGGGTCTGTTGTTTAAAATTGTTACGGGTCCTCGCCAGTACAGTCTTTCTCAGATCCGAGTCCCATGGGACTCATGACCACATTTTACTGCCCACATTCGAGACTCCCCAACCTCGAGGACCAGGTCCCTATATTACACGTATATCCCCCGGGAGCAGGGTGGAGCAGTTATACCCACCGGGACTGGGTTCCCTTTCCGTCACCTCCTACGACTCGCTGGGATACACTGGGGTTATTCTAACGCGCCTGCGCACGGGCACGACGAATGAAATTCGTCGGAGTAATTATCCATAATTCCAGTTACTACCGCATAGCAAACACACTGCGACCCTGCTACAAATACCAACCGGGTAATGCTGTTTAGGGAAATAATTTTTGTTTTTCTGAGGATGAAACAAAGCATATGGATATACCGTCTGCGCAAAAAGTAGAATAGCCATTTGTGTGCTAAAAAAGGCGATGTCCATAGTTTTAAAGGATTAAATATTCATGACGTGTCATCATTTCCTTTTAAGATACGGAATGTAAGGAAACGTCATTAATATTTAGGGTTTGTTCCTTTCAGAGCAATAGATTTCACATGTAAAGTAAAGGTTAAGGGCCTCCTTGGTGCTTATATTTTTATAAAATTTATTAAATACATATCTTATTCAAAAATATTAATTACTGTAGGCCTACGCATTGTTGCACCCTATAAGAGTACCTTAAACGCGATAAAAGACATAATAAGGAATTACATTATTTTAGTTCGACTATTAAAGAAATTTCCTGGCGAAGAACCAGTACTCTACATAAATATAATTATTTGTGTTGTGTATAAAATTGATATAATGCAGTGTCCAACTTACCGCACCCTTCTCCCTGCCAATGCACTCAGCAATGCCCTAAAATGAATTTAAATTATCCAAATTACTATCTATGAATTAATCAAACAATACACAGTGATAGAAATAGTAAAATTCTGAGGCAGAGACGCTAAAGTCTTCTTCTCAACAAGCATTCATTTTTTGTATGTTAGGATCTTTCATTCTGTCCTCAGAATATATCTTTGTATTCACACATATATAAATTCATAACAAATACATATACTGTTTCTATAAAATAGGAATATATTCCTTGAGCTTAATTTGTGTGTGTCTGTACTAATCATAAAATTACCGGCTTCTGTGGAACCTAAAATTCTGTACCATTTTCACAAGACACCACCACTGGACTCTGTCCTGAACCAGACGAAACCAGTAAAATTATATTCACATCTGAACCTACATTTTTTAAATGATCTCGTCTTTGAGATCTTTCGACTGGAGTTGTGAATGCATTTGACTTTGTTTAATAACTAAAGTCATATTATTAATTCATATATATATATATATAACTAATATGAGGTAATGAGTCTGTAATATTCAATTACTTTGCTGTTAAATGTGACAGTAACACACAGTGCCGATAAATTACCTGCAGAATTTTTTGGAGACGGGGTACCGAAACCTTCTTCCTCCGTTGTCTCCAAGATCTGCCCTTCTAACTTGTCCTAACTTCGTACGAATTTGTCTTGCGAGAGTCCTGCCTTCCGAAGTGTCACGCTAGATAATCCGATATATAT